GTGATTCTTTAGATCTATCGAGATCGTAACTCTGACACCTGTGTTAGATTCTTCCTGTGTAGAGATTACTATCTTGTAGCCGTACGGAGAGAATTCCGTCCTGTACTCATTGTTATTTAGAACGTGTTGACCTCTATAGATAGGATATAGGTAAGATGCTAAGAGAATGTTTACTCAAGCTGACACGAGACTGTTTAGCTCATATAAACCGAAGCAGAAGACAGTGTTATCTGTACAACTTTGCACGTCTTGACGAGAATCAGCTATGCATGCTGTAGAGTTTTTTTGCTCCTCTAGTAGACTTTATAGAAAGACATTATTTTTGCGTGTAAGTGTAGAATCTGTTACTTAGCTCTCGGTACATGGACATTCTGTGCAGATCTCTCTTCCTACGATATTAAGTAAGAGAACTACTCACACCCGTATGACATTGTGTGCGATCAAAGACTATAGTTCGTGTATCGTTTGTTGTATGATTGTTCGTAGTAGCGTAGTTTATTGATGAATATAGTGAAGTAAGGCGCATGAACAAATGATCCGAACGAGTGCTGCGTAGGCCGCTGAGGTTGGCGAGTCGGGTGGAGGTAGGAGGGAGGGAGCGTGTCTGCAACGTAGGACTGAACTAGCGGACACCAATACATATTTCCACAAATGATGGTGCGTCCCAAGGAGTGAAAAGGGAGAGTCAGAACAGACTCACTATGGCTTGCGTTGGCTCGGGACGCTCGTTCCGTCGGAGGGGAGTCGAGGCACACACTGCATTAAAATGTAGCGGCCCGGAGCCAGGCCATCCACCCGTAATTTCAAGTCCACTGCTCCAATTAATGTCTCTTAACAGTCGGACGACGACACACGCGACCTGCCCACCCTCCCTAGAACTGCGGAAGGTTACGAGCAGAGGACACACTGTCCGTGACGCCGAGGATGCCCACAAGTCGACGCTAATGTGTGTGTGGATGTTCGGAGTAGTCAAGTGAACTTTGTCGAGCTTAATATGGGGTGTCTTCGGTGTACTTTTATGATCGTCGAAAATAGATGTGAGCTGCATATTTAATGGTGTTGTTACGTTAAGAGGTGTACTTTCGCCTAACATTGATGAATTTACTTGTCGTGTAAATATGTTGAAAAACGTCTTTCGAATCCAAATCCCTCATTGCCTAATGTACATCTGTCCTAATACATAGTCCTATAGTCTAATGATTATGTAAAGATTTGTAACCCTAATGATCTCCAATTATTACAGTGATTTTTGGATTTGTTTAACGCATAACACAAACAGACATTTTCCCCAAACTACAAAAGAACAAACTTTGACATGACAAGACATCCGATTATGAAATTCACCACTTAGATATGCTAATCCAATTGAGAAAGGATGTCCATTGATCAATAACATGTTTCTAATGTAAAATTGATTTGGGGTGGGCGATTGGGGTGGGCGCGTCTTTGGTAGAGATGAAATATGTTCTCCAATAAACTCTCTCGTCCTCGCGCTCCGGCTCTCGTGCCTCACCTCGTCCTTTCTTCGTTCTCTTTCTCACTCAGGGTGCTGACGTCAGACGACGAGACAACTTCATATCGCTGACTCATGATGTAAGGGAGTACCTAATTTCCCCTAAAACGTTTACGTTATATCTTACGTGTCAGATTAGTTATTCCGGACAAGATTAGACGAGTTATATGTTTGTAATTACGCTCATTTTCGTGTAATGTTCTGTCTTATTTTTTATCTAACATCGTCGAAGGAGTCTTCTTTAGGTTCAGTTTGCGTAAAAATACACTTTTCTATTTTATGATTTCCGCTTAGGAAAGAAACATGCTTATTATGAGCCGAACACAGGTAAATTATTTCTTTTGAACAGATTCTCCAATGCGAGTTACACGTATAAGATTAGTTATACTTAATGTATTCCCGAAAATAGATACAATGCGACCGTAGGTCTGGGCGTTCGATTTAATTGACAAAATGCTCACGAAAATTCGAGTTAATTAAGAGCGTTTAAGTTTCTCCAAGTTGTGGTTAAAAGATACTCGTCGGCCTTTGTAAAAGTCGCGCTCCCCTCATCTGCGTTTCTCTCAGTGTGGGTCGATCTGTACATGATTTGAATCGTTCATAAGACTTAATGTTGTTCTTCCCTGCACCTGTATAGTTGCCGCATCACTGATGAAGCCTCTGGTGCGAGGACTGTCGTAAAACACACGATAGTAGCTCGATTTACAAACCTCTTTGGGGGGGCGGCGGGAGAGGGGCGGGAGAACGCGAAGTAAGGTTCGGACTGAACGAGTAAAAGATTACGATTACCACGATCCGGGCCCGATTACCAAAGAGGGCACTAGTCGACCGGTGACCCCGGAACACCCTCGCCTAGATTACCCGAGACTGTCCTTCCGCTTGACTAGAGTAAGTTTCCCTACTATCACCGATGACTTACCCACTGCGGAGTTGACCTAGTCATAATTAACTCTGGGCAATAGTAAGTGGTCGTGAACACCCGGTACAGTATTTCGGGGGAAGAAGGCAAGAGGTACGTGCGCCACGGCAGACGGTTTCGGTACTGAAACCTACTCGACGGTATATACCAAAGGAGACGGAAAATCCATGTGCAGTTTCACTGAGGGCTCGAGTCCTCCCCGCCCGCAGACAGCTTGCCAAACTCGTCAAGTGTTCACCGTCAATTTAATTGTTGGTACCACCCACAACAAATGTTAAGTTAATGCTCCGTGTGGACTCGTCTACTTTTTGTGTTTTCGGATGTCAGCGTCCTTTTAGTCACCCTCGGTGTCGTCAGTTATAAGTCGAAGTGGCAGGCGGACGATAATACTGACTCCGCAACGAGTAGTACGTAACGTTTCATACAAAACCCGGGTAAAGACGTAATAAAGTGAACGGAGATGGTGGTTCCATTCGCGTCTCTCTTTTCTTCTATGTTATTCACTCTCCATGGTCTTTCTTCAAAATTTTATTGACGTTCGTGACTTTGTATCCCAATCTAACAAGGAACTATTCATTTATTTAGATCGTCGATTGTATTTTGTAACCGACCGGTCTTATTAGTTACTTCTCATGTTCTTACTAGTCGTACCGTCAAATATCTTATGTGTGACTTGTACATGAGTTGGTCCTATGAAATAGCGGAAAAGTAGTGATAAGAAAGGATTTCGGGATTTTAGATACACCCGACACGCTCTCCTTCCTATTTTATTCAATCGTTAGTATGGACACTTGAAACTTATTTGTTCAGGGATTTTTCCGGTGTCGTTACAACCACGTCTTTTGTCTCGTCGGGTGTTAATTTGCAGAGCCGTCCGTCCTACAAGTAGTCTCACACCAAAGACTTTTTTTTCGGTTTGTTTAGATGCGGACAGTCAGACATTTTTACCCTTCTTCTCGCGCTCTTTCACGTATAGTGGGTGTGCGTCGGTATGCCGTAGGTGCACTGCTTTCTCACTTCTGCTACGCTAAGAAGTGACTTACGCGGACTCGCCACTTGTCGTTGCGACTCGTGGTCGAGGACCATGCGGACGATTCTTAGACAGTCTTTGGAACAGTTTCCTAGTGTTTTGTGTACTCCGTTGTGAGTTGTCACGTACGTATGGACATAAGTATTTAGTCGTATTTGTATATGAAGTAGTTAGTACAGGTTCTTGTATAAACTTACGCATAGGTAAAAATTGTTTTTGTTTGATTTAATTGTCGACGCAAACTATTAAGTTTCTCTACACAAACATTTTTACTTAGTGTATGTACATGTAGTAGGAGACTAAACTACCCAATGATATAGTTCACTACAACAACGTACAGGGTCAGAGGGACGTACGACATGAAAATCCGTCCCCCGACTCCGTCGGCGTCGTCGAACCCTTCGACAAAGAACTGGGGTCGACGTCCGTCCTTCAATGTAGGTAGGTGTGCAACTCCACAGTGATCGTAAAGAAGTTGTAAAGGTAAAATTAGACTCTAAGGCGGTACACAGTTGAAGTTTTCCTTCAGGTGAGCGAGCGTAGGAAACCGTGGATTCATTGTTAGACACGTGACGGTGTGTTGTACCGGACACAGAAACAGACAATTTAGGACATTGTAGTGTGTGTGTGTGAGGGTGTCAGAATAACTTCTTTCATTCCACGTACATTTTGATTGACTTTAATAATATCGCGCGTCCCCTACTTTTGTAACACCATGAACTAGTTATACGAATTGTAGCCGTATCATAATTTATACGACTACATCATTATGTTCATTATGAATCGAATCGTAGGCGATGTCTAAGCTCGTTAGTAGATTTGTATAGTAAATACTGGCTGAATATCGGGTGATTGTTCTAATTTGGCGAAAATACTGTATGTGTATTATATCGATTTCTACCTTTATACTCGACTGTAACGTGTAACATTTTGTCATGTACATTCTGAAGCAAAAGCGAAAATTATAATTCGTCCAAGTGTATACTTTACGTCTGTAGAATCGTCAGGTAAAAAAATAGAATCATATGTCAACCCTTCTTCTGCTTTCTTATCCGGTGGCTTCACGTACGACTACTTGTTCCACGTAACACAAAGTCCGTCACTCGCAAGTCACTTGTATGGTAGTGACTAATTTGTTAGCGTCTCCGTCTCCATTGTTTCTCGGTGGTGTTGTAATGGTCCGTACGACAAGAGTTGAAGGTCCCGCTCGTTCGTCCTGTAAAAACGGGCCGAAGGAGGTGCCGGGTCCTTTTAGGAGGGGTGCTAATGGTGGTAACACCCGCTCGATCGAAACGAAAGTCGTCAGGTCTTCTACGTTTTGTCGTCGGTACAAAAGTCGCTGTTTACAGAAAGGGTCGACCCGACCACCTTGTGTCTATATTCGTAGCGACTGTCTGGCTCCCGTCAGTGAACCATCTCGTTAATAGCCCGGCTCGGCACCCTTCCAAATGTTTGTGGACTCGAAAACGAACAGCACCGCAATGAGACTCCATACTACTAATTGAAGGAGTGATTGTTCATCGCGTGGTCCGTCGGGCTCAGACGGGAGAAACATCCACCGTTCGACCACTCAGCACCACGTCGTCTCGGTCGGTTTGTTTTCGTTCGACGTTGGTTTTTCCCAAGTAACGCAGCAAAAATAATGACTGTACATGCAGGTGTAAGAAACGAAAATTACCAAGAGAAATCCAGACACACGCATTTCACTCCATTCACACGCTCACACGCCACACCTTGTATTTCTCACGCTGAGATTTCTTTCCAGGGTACCGCCCACCAAGTTGCGCCGCAATTTTGTAAACAAACTAGGCTTGTTTGAGACGCCTGCACTCCACTAGCAGAGGGCTTCATGGGAACTTTCAGGGGAGCCAGAAGTTGGAGTACCAAACACCGCTGCCAAAATCTCACTCTGAACTCTGTTCAAAACTTGAGAGCGCTATATATATATCTTTTTTTTCCTATTTTTTTTCTTAAAGAAATACATTTGCTATTGAATAAAAAAAAAACTAAAAGATAAAACAACAAATAAATAAACAGATAAATAAACAAACAAATAAGCAGATAAATAAACAAACAAATAAACAGCAAATACATAACAGAGGTAAATGATATTCAAGAAAAGATAAAATAACAAACCAAATAAATAAAATAAATAGCTTACGTTCAATAGTTAGTTAAATAGTTAACTTTCACAACCTAACAGCGCACTAACACACAAGCAGCAGGAGGAGACTGATAGGGACACCAGCTTTCATAGCTCTACCACGCAGCATTCTCCACTATAAGAATCACCTCTTTCTTGCTACAATTCAGCTGCATCAATCAAATACGATACAAGGGCCACACTTGCTAAACATCAGCAGTGAGAACAGACAATCACGCACACCAACTTTCAAGGGGTCTACCACTCACCACTAGCTAGAACCATAAGGTACATGTAAACAGCATGATACTCTCTAGGGCACAAGCATTGGGAGAAGCAAAAGCTTGGCCCTTGGAAATGTCACAGATAGATCTGAGAGATGTGGAAGTGACAAAGATGAAATACAGAAGGAGGGGGGGATTGATGAGAGAAAGAAATGGCAGAGGAGAAACAGGATAGAGAGACTGAAGAGTTGAGGAAGAGAACAGAGGAGAGGAGAAATCGATAATGCAATAGAAATCTCTGGACGTGACTGTGTGTTAGAAGTCCTCCTTAATGACATGTATTGAGAAAAATGATTAATCCACCAGGGACAGGCTGTGTGTGTGTGTGTGTGTGTGTGTGTGTGTGTGTGTGTGTGTGTGTGTGTGTGTGTGTGTGTGTGTGTGTGTGTGTGTGTGTGTGTGTGTGTGTACTGTGTGTGTACTGTGTGTGTGCATTTCTTGGAGTGAACCCCTCTGTAGAGCATTAAATCTCAAGGTTGCTCGACGTTAGCTATCTTTTACCTTTACTTCCTCTGCCAATAACTTTACAGCCCCGTTTGTAGCAAAGATATGAATCATGCTTTCGTAAGCTCACGTGCACACACACATAGATTTATAGGAATATGTTGTTGGCAGGTAGTAAGAACTTCAAGGTCAGGGCTCATTGATGGTCTCTCACAGGTATCATCTCTTCTTTTCCAGCCATTTCTCCCTCCTGATAACTCTAGATTTTGCTTACTAATGCTGACGCCCCGTTAAACACCTCCAACAAATCTGCTGGCATTTGTAACTCGGTCTCTCTCTCTATCAAACGTCTATTTGTGTGTTTTTTATGCTCCCTGTCTGTCAGTGTGACTATATTTTCTACAACTCAGAAAGTCCTCCTACATTACTTTTAATGTATTATGTGTGTCTTTCTTTATTCCTGCCTTTTTCTCCACCCATGTTCCCATCTGTCATGTCTACCTTTTACTTGCTCTTGTCTCTCCCTACTGCATTGTTTACACCCATTCGTTTTTGCATCTGTTCTTAAATCATGGGCCACGAGAAAAAAAAAAATCTTTTATCTTATCTTTGGGAGCAATTAGCTGTCTTAAAAGCAGAATAAATAACTGTGTATCTACTCTATCGCTGACACAGCTACCGCAGAGGTCGCTTTGGAGAGACCCAACTGTTTTAATAACCAGGACACATACTGTATATTGTTATGTAAATAACCTAGAATCAATTATAATCCTTCACATGCGTGCACAGACATAAAGTACACACAACCAGGAATAGCTTCTCATTTCGAGACATGGATACACACACACACACTTTTTCTTTCGCTTGCTGTCTCTCCCGTCCACACACTCGGACACCTAATCTGTGGTGCGTCGATGCAGAACATTTTAAGATTAAACACTAATGCGGAATCAATGCATATGTTTGACCTGTTATAAACAGCATGAAGAAGCGATTTGCCGAGGGACTGGGCCTAATCGTGTGTGTAATCAAAAGCAACACTATAAAAGCATGGGAGCAGCAGACTTTTACCCCCCACCTCCACCTCTCTCTGCGGGAGAGAGCTTTTTAAACACATGCTCTGTGGGGAGAGGGATCAAAAACTTAACATACTGGCTTAAACCTCCATTAGGGAATATTATGGCTTGATGGACTGTGAGCCACAGTCGCACATATACAACGACATATAACTGCTTATAACTGGAGTCATATAATGCAGAGGCTCAATGGCAAAGTGGACCTTAAGCATTGTTTCATTTATATCGTGGAGTCATGGAGCTAGCTAGGTCTTTTAGGTACATTAAGGTCCAACATTGTAATATTACCCAATTATTTATTGAGCGTTGTGGCATGTTCCTGGAATCCACTTGAGTATTTATTTCACAAAAGAGAAATGTACCCTACAAACGGTATTACAGACTTAATGAAAAGACTGTCTACAAATCCCCCTCTCATTTGTGTTGAATTAGGTTATGTCCAACACCCATTTAACACCTGTGTTTGACCTGTGCTCTGCAACGTTAAGTTTGAACCATCTAAACGATGGTCTCTGTTTCGAGCCATTTAAGACTCACACAATCGGCCTACGTGTGTTGGAGTCTTGGTTTAATAAAGGCATTACCATTGGAGGAGGAAATGCTCGAGTGGAGATAAGTGTCTCATCATTGGCCACTAAATGTATTGTTTAATCTGAATGCCTGCTCCAGTTGTTTTCCTTAGCACCCACATGCAGCTCACCTCTCCTAACAGTGGAGTTTCTCCGTCTGAATCCGTGATCCAGGCCTTCTGCGCAGTCCCGCGGTCAAACGCCTCATACGGAGCACCCCCTACCCTCTTACTGGTAGCTACTGCGGGGTCCTGGGGAAACAGAAATGCACTCATAAGAAAACAACACATATACAAATGATATTTATAATAACTGTTCATAAAGCACAGGTGAGTCGCAAAGCTGCTTATCGTCTACCTGCCAGTATCGTTTTGTGTAAGAAATGTATAGTAGGGGTCTCCAGCAATTACAAATGCCGGATGCTAACTTGCATATGTTGGGTCATTTTTACAATCAGCAGAAGTTGTGTTGAATTGCATTAATTATAGTCTATTATGGCTTGATTTTGGACAATGTTGGAGTTGTGTTGGGGGTTATTGAGGGTGCTGAATCAATTTAGGGACATTTTCAATTTCCAAAATGGCAGTTTTAAGAAGTGGGTAGATTTTGATAATTCGGTTGTCCATTTTCAAGTTTATAGGATGCTGGATCGATTGGATTGGGCTGATTTGGAGGGTATGTATTTCAAATAGTAAGCGTTAACTTCAACAGGTGAAAGGTTGAAGGACATTTCTTACCACAATGATCCAAACAAAGCAGAACATGTACATTTGAATTGACAGACCAATACATTCTTAGTTGAAACCTGGATATTTGAGGTAACAAAGGCAAGTATACCAAATTAAAATATATCACGATAGCTAAATGATATGCTTTAAAAAGGGAGATAAAAACTATATAATAAAAACGCTGTGTGTTTAGTGGTAGGTGTTACTTTTAAGAAACACATCATATTGTTGCAATGTTCTGGGGTTTATGCCAGAAACAATAAAAACATAAATTGAATATGGTTTTTGAACTCTCCCTGTGAAAGCAGATCATTAATGGAGTCAGGGATTTGAGATGGAGTTTACTTTTAGACAGCGAGAACAAAAAGTATCTGTCATGCTTCATTACCAACCTGACATCACTATTCGACAATAATACACGAATAATAATACCATCAACAACAAACACATTCAAGGTGTTGTTTTGTAGGGATGCTTAAAGGTTACATTATCAATGTGTCTTCTTACCAGGATGAGGATGTATTTCTGTCCCTTCTCATGAAGGTAGTCGGCGAACTGAGGCAGCTCATTGAAATTAACTTTGTCGTAAGTGAAATCTTTCTTATCCTCCATGTAGTCGATGTCAGTGTACTGAACGTCCTGCATGGGTAGAAAAAAAAGAATGTATGGGCACTTCATTAACACGACATAAAATAACTACCGTAATTTTCGGACTATAAGCCGCGCCTTTTTTCCCATTTTTCGACGTGAATAACGGTGCGGCTAATCTATGGATTTTTACAGGTTACAGTCCACCACCTTTAACTCTATGGGCTCTATGGCCGGTCCGCGCCCCCCACCTTTAAGCGGCGGGCTCCAGCAGGAAAAGCTGGAGGCCGGAAAAGAGTGAGACAGGTAGCGCGCAAAAGTAAAAGTGGAACCGAGAGTGGTACGAGAGACAGAACGAGAGCAAGACAGACAGACATTGCGAGAGCGAGACAGTTTGTCCCCGTACCACTCGTTGAAAACCACTGCTGTAGATCACTGCCGGTACGTGCGCTGGGAGCGCACCGTTTAAGTTTGAAAGTTGTAAAGTTTGTGTGTCTGAAACGCTATGTGATACAGTACAGTATACACAGCACAGTACATGTTCTGTAGCTACTATTGCACTAAATGGTAACACTTGAATACGTTATGCAAATATGCAACTTGTTTGTTGAAATGTTAATAAATGGGAGCTTCCTCAAACAGCCATCTCTTTCCCGACAATCCCCTCTGTGCACGAACCCTTACATATGGTAATTAAACATTAAAACACCTGCGGCTTATAGTCCAGTGCGGCTTATATATGTACACATCATTCAATTTAGCTGCTGCGGCTTATATTCAGGTGCGCCTTATTGTCCGAAAATTACGGTATTTCATATGCAGTTCATTAAACATTTTTAAAAAGTGTCCTAGTCTTGGATACCTTGATGAGTTTACTTCAAATAGGTTGGATGTCATTAGATATTCAAAGCTTAATTGGAAATGCTAAGTTGATGGCATGGCTTCCATGTATTAAAATACCATTTGCATTGATTTAATGAATTAAAAAGGTCTCTTAATGCCATTTAAAGGTAGCCAGTCATGCCTCCACTCCCCTGCATAACTGGAACACATCCACTCATAATTCTGCATCTCTAATGTGAATTCATAATACAGTATATTTACCATTTCCTTACCAACAAACACCCTATTAAGCAAGCCACAGCTAAAAAAAGTTGTATTGCGATCTTGTCTGACCTGCCTTAGCTATATTTTAGAGACCTGCATGGTGTGCTAACTGGGATAATGTGCTACTAAACCTTGGGAGGACAATGGGAGTGTTAGCACATCCTTTTTTTTTTTACTGTGCATGGGACTTATGCTTGCTCCCTGTCTGTCTGTTGTCTGCCAAAATCTACTTCACATCGATAGAGCAGATGGTCGGGAAGGCACTGCCAGATCCTTCCTCTAATGGTAATCAGCTCCAGACATATTAGGGAGAATGTGATAATGCCCTCTGTGGTCTATCTAATGGTTATCAAATATGTCCCTGAGTACAGCAGGAGAGGAAGCAGCTGCATCTTAATGTCTTCGGTTATGAAAGAGAGATAAGAGATTATCCGAGTGAAATATTGAGATAGGTTAGTAATGTGTTTGCGTTTAATCTTTGAATAAGACAAGGGTTCAAAACGCGTCAATGATTGGCGCAGTCTTTGCTGACTTGTGATACAGTTGAAATGTTTTATGGGAACGTATAAAAATTCAGATTGGGAGTTTACCTTAGTTATTAAGGAAGGGAAAGTACATCTAACAGCGGCGCTCTGTGTAGATGGGACTTCTTACAGTTATTCCCAGGCGAAGTTAACCAGCACAGGCTCCTTCCCAAGAAAATGTCAACCAGAACTGGTATTTATCAAGAGTCTCAGAAGGGAAGAAGTGTTGGGAGTAGTTTGAGCATTCAGATCACGATGAATGAGATAATAAAAGGATCTTGCTCAATTGATCTTTGATCAGCGCTAACATTCAGTGATGCTTGAAAGATAGTTGTCCTGGGATTGAACCTAGAGCCCAGTAGACTCTCCAGTATTTGACAGAAAGCTGGATTACCCCGTCTAGGCTAAAGGCCATCGCTATCACTCTGACTGTCTCACAAAGTCCTGCTTCCGCCTTCACATCACGTCTCCACAGATAGTGTAGTGGTTAGGGCTCTTGCCTCTGGAACCACACAGAAGTGCATGAGTGGTTCAACTTTAACAAGGGGTGAGCAAGGTGAATTATCGATTTCCTTCACTTTCCCCAAACCAAAGGTAGGAGCTGAATAAACCCTCTGCTGCAGCTATTATGCTTTGCCACAGCTTGACTTCAGACAGTTGGTGATTGAAATGCATATTTTGTTTTAAAGAAAATAAGCCTGGGAAATATCTCCCAACATTTGACATCTGAGGTTAAATTGAAAGACCTGCCTCTGTGTTGTCCCTAATTTGCATTCCTTGATCTGCAAACTAAATCAATAATGTGTTTTCATTCCCGAGACTGTTGTTGATTCATAATGAGCTCATGCTTCTGATACTTTGGGTGGATTTCGTCACTGTTTCTCAGCAACCGATTGCCTTTTTCTCTTTGTCACAACAAAAAGATTGTGTGAATGGACCGGAGAACTTGATGCCCGACCTTTCATCCTGTCTGATAGGCTTTTATTGTTCATTTTCATTGAGACAATAAACACAGTGCAAACCAAATGTCACAGGAATGTAATTGCATACAATTTTCCGCAGAGAGCTGAGATATAGATTGTGAAAGTGGAGTAGGGGTTTATTAAAGTAGGGCGCCATCAATTAACAGCAAATTCCTTTTGCCATAAGGTGTCGCTATAACTTCGCCTCAATAGGGCTGTGTACATGTGCTCGGCAAAAAGCAGTTTCATGACGAAATGGCCGAGGCATTGTCATTTTATAGAAACTTAAGATTTTTAAACATTTGAATCCTTAAGGCCTCAAAACTGTCTTGACTGAATTTGAAGTTGATAGGTCTAAATCTGTAGAAAGAGTTTGTTAAAGTATGACTCCTGGACAAATAATAAAGATAGAGTGTTTGAAATTGGTTTTCAATTTATATTATTTAACTATATTTTCAGCAATCCCTCAACATGTGCATACTTGAATGAGTTTTCAGTCATGGCAAGAACCTCAAATATGCCTTCAAATGCTTAAACTATTTATAAGAATAATACAAATCCTACCGGTTTTAATAGTTCCTCCACTCCCTAATTACAAAACCACAGATTGCAGAAGCAGCAATAGACATACAGATGGTCCTATATATGTATAGACGGCCTAAAAATAAGGAAAAGCAAGCTGTCAGGATCTTACATATGGGATGCCCGCAGCACGATTCCTCTCCACTGTATCTTTGACCTCTTTCAGGCTGCCGTAGTTCCAGCGAGAAAGCTGGAAACCCAGGGACCAGTAGGGAGGAATGACCGGCCTGCCAATGAGCTGAAACAACAGCGGACATATTGTTATTGCAATTACTGTGCCAGGGCTGGCTACTCACAAACCACAGAGAACCTCATATATATATATCTTCTTATGTAACACATTCCTTCTAAAAGAGTATTTGTTTGTGCCTCACCTCGAGAAACTCCTGCACCACTTGTTCTGGCGTGTCTCCAAAGAGGATGTAGAAGTCAAGGACTCCACCGATCGTCCTGAAGGTCACAGCAGGAGCTGGTTGCAAAGTCACCTCTGAAAAAAAGATGGACAAGCATGATAAAATGCCCTTCCAAACTATTTTGAACCGGCAGTGACTCTGCTTTGAGGGATATCTATTGTTGTGCAGACATGAGACAAGAAGATGTGTATCAGTCAAGACAATCCACGAGAGGCAAAAGCAACACAAAGCTTTTTACATCAAGAGGCTATAGACATGAGCAAGAGGAACATGTCAGCAGGCGTTCCCATTGCTTTCAGTCATCTCCTTCATGGAATAAAAGAGCCATGCAATATTCTCTTTGATTTGTCAGCACCATTTTTTGATTGAGGCAACAGTAGATCCATTTGGGTTATGAGGATGAAGCATAATATGTGCCCTTGAACCATTTTGAAAAGTGCTTGTGAAATAAATGATTATTATTCGTATTCTCTTTTCACACTGCTGCCTTTGCAAAACATGTTGATGTCTCTTTTGCTGCCCTGAGAACAGTGTGATGTGTTCATGTCGTTTGTAACGTGTATTTGAGTGTGTTTTGTGTTTATCTTCACCCATAGCATTGCTGTTCATGAGAAAGACCCCGAATGACTTTCCGCTCTCGTCTTCCAGACAGAGGAAGAAGGGATAGTGTCCGTAGAGGTTGTGTGTTCCCTGAGGGGAAGGCAGAGAGACAGAGGGATGAGGGAGAGGTGTGAGGCACGGGGGAGATGTATCGAAGCTGAGGAGGCACGTTGGGACATTGCTGCCTAATCAGCTTACAATGCATTCAATTAGAAGCCCTTTGGGAAGGAGAGGACACATGTTGGGAGCATGTACACATGAAACTTCAACACATGCACACACACTCACATACATACAGACAGAAGAGGATTAGGGATACAAAAAGGAATAATTCAGACTCAGAATTCTGGCTTTTTCCCAGACACAAATTGAAATTCTGTGAATAAAGTCAGAATTTGAAGGAAAATAAATATCTCACTTGGTCGGATCTCCAAATAAATGTCACATGCAGCCCTAATCTTCTTCCTTACGCACACACACACACACACACACACACACATACACACACACACACACACACACACACACACACACACACACACACACACACACACACACACACACACACACACACACACACACACACACACATAAATCCTAGGTAAGCTTGTCAACTGTTAGCCTCCCAGTACACAATAAGGCCGGTGTAGCAGTAATATTAAAACATAACAAGTACGCATATGGTTCCTTGAGTGAATGCATCTCACACACACACACACACACACACACACACACACACACACACACACACACACACACACACACACACACACACACACACACACACACACACACACACACACACACACACACACACACACTGTTGTTGGCCACTCTCACTGCCAAACCCCAGTTTTGCCTCTTGACACAAATGCACACCTTCGCATTCACACAATTGACCCCCAATGATTTCAGCCTCCGGGTGAAAATTGGCCGGCAAATTGTGGGAAATGTTGTTATCGACAAAAAAGGCTCTGTTATTTTAAACCTCTTCTAAGCTACTGGTACCAGCTACATAACATATACATATAATAAGTTATGTGTATATTCATGTGTAAGCAGAAGTATGATTTGGCGATCTCTTATCATTCGCTGTGGGTGTGTTTGTATGTTTGTGTGTGTGTGTGTGTGTGTGTGTGTGTGTGCGTGTGTGTGTGTGTGTGTTATCTGATCCGGATGGTTACTAATTCCTTTTCTTTATGGCAGTCATTTTTGACCGGAAACACGAAGACGACAGGAGGGTTAATATCTGTTTTTAAAAGGGTTTTTTTTTCTGGCCCATTCACTCTTTCCCAATGTAATCACATGATTGACAGAAAAGTTGTAATACCTTTTTACTGGTATTATTTAGACTTAAAGCATGTACTGCTAGATATTTATTTTTCTGGTCTATATGTGACTTTTGCTACGTTCCAACATCTAAATGATCATTGTGTAACCTTTGATACACAATAAGACACTCTCAACGTAGTATAAATTCTAGGTTAGTATTGATTTTTATCTTATGATCCTCTACAATAAATAATTTTCCCATAAATGCTATTAATATTTAACCATGCATATAAAGCTTTATGTATGAAGACTCCGGAATAATACTGTCATGCACTCTTATATAATGCTTGAGAAAGGAAACCATGCTGTTATATATTTTTTTTTCTAAAAGTCATTGACATTTTACATTTATCCATCAAACCTCTCCATGTATTGTTAGAAAATAATTACCATGCATTTGCCAGATTTAAAAGCTCTCTCTGCATGTCGGTCATGAATTAGAGTAGATGTGTAATAATTTGTTGGCGCAAATCAGTATTTTTAATCCTTGAATTGCTAAACAAGTGTGCAATAATCCCCCTACTCACACCCCCTTCTAATTATTGGTGTCAATTTGTACTAGAAAAAAACTGAAGTTAAAGATTTGTTGAGTGTTATTGGCTAGCTGCTGTGTGGAGTGTAAAATTACTGATTTCATTCATAATAATTATAGTTATTGAGTGGAATCCATTTGTTCATGCTGTCTCCACACTCTCTTTTCCACACAGTAATAAATGGACATTTTTTCAACCCTTACTGTTTGCTCTTTGCTAGCTAGCTTTGGCCGTTAGGTGCACACAAGGGTGTAACTTTGGTTTGAGAAGTGGGGGGGACACAAAATAGGGGGTCCTTCGCAATGAAAAATTGTTCTCGATTTAATTCCATTTCCTGCCTTTCTACAAATATATTAGGGACTATGGTGTTAACAAATCCAAGGAAAATGTGTAGTGTATATAATGAGGAGAAGATTTTTGTCTTTAAATTGAAGTTAAATGCATCAATCTGGTGCACTTTATTTATGGATACAGCTTTCAACACTCATATGAAACAGAACTGTATATATTGCAATACTCCAAAAACC